AAAACCATCACCACAGCCTATTACCGAGGAGCCATGGTAGAGAGCTTGGTGGGGCAGGGGGTGCAGCTGGAGCTGGACAGGGGGTGGGGCAGGGAGTGCAGTTCCTTCCAGGCTCCTCCTTGGAGGGAAGGGGAGACCCTGTTCTAGCTCCTACTGCTCCGGGAGCACTGGGCTCCACCGCTGATGAGGGTCTGGCCCTGCTAAGAGCACATGTGTTGCAGGGGATCATTCTCGTCTACGACATCACAGATGAGAAGTCCTTTGAGAACATCCAGAACTGGATGAAGAGCATCAGGGAGGTGGGTGTGGGGCACTGGAGCACAGGTTGAGGGCTGGGGGTGCTGGCAGGATGTGGGGCCCAGGGGAAGCACTCACTGCTGGCTCTACTCTGCCCAGAATGCCTCGGCAGGCGTGGAGCGCCTGCTGCTGGGGAACAAGTGCGACATGGACGGCAAGCGCAAGGTGCAGCGGGACCATGCAGAGAAGGTAGGGCCAGGGAGGGGAGTGCAGGGGGCCGGCGCCAGAGCCCCAGGACTAGGACCAGCTCCGTGGGTGGGTCGCGTCTCCGCCGCCTGGGGCTCGGGGCTGCTGGATTCGGTCACGTCCCTGCCAGCTGCCCCAGGCGGGGGTGCGGGGCGCTGCCTCACTGGGTCCCTCTCTCACGGCAGCTGGCCAAGGAGCACGGGATCCGGTTCTTTGAGACCAGCGCCAAGTCCAGCCTGAATGTGGAGGAGGTGAGTGGAGCAGGGCAGGGCTCAGCCCTGTGGGCTCTCCACATGGCGCAGGGGAGGGGACCTTAGGCCAGCGCCTGCTCCACACTGGCCCAGACAGGGCTAGAAGTGAGGTGCTGAGGCCCTGGGGGCAACCCGGCTCCTGCCCCCTGGGCTGTCCCTGGGCCGGGCCAGGGGCGCTGAGGACTCGGCTCCCCCGCCCCCTGCCCTGTGTCCTGCTGATGCCAGGCAGCCCCTGACAGCTCCTCTCCCCGCCTCAGGCTTTCACCACGCTGGCCCGGGACATCCTACTGAAGTCCACCAAGAAAGCGGTGAGTACGGGGACGGGGACAGGCCCAGGGCAGCTTCGCTCAGGGGCACCGCAGAGGTGCAGGGGCCCGGCCCAGGGCACGGGCCTCCAGCCCCCCACAGCCGCGCAGGGCCCAGTGGACCGGGGCTGGGACACAGGCTCACGAGCAGGCGCTGGTGCCAGGCAGAGCCCCTCCAGCCTGCCCCATAGCACGACCCCAGGCCCGGCTCTGCCCCTCCTGCCGAGGACAGGCAGGGCCGGCGGCAGCGGCCTCTCTCCGCCTCTTGTGCTTCCAGGGCGCGAGCAGCAAGGGGCACCTGGACCTAGCAACCACGCAGAAGAAGAGTGGCAGCAGATGCTCTGTGGCCTAGCACCCGCCACCACCTGGAGTCCCAATCCCGAGACCGCAGCCCTGTGCCACCCCCGCCCCCTCCTGCCGCTCCGGGACCGCGCGGGCCGCACCCCGGAGCCGCCGGGCT